AATAAAATCCAACGCTGTTCTCTTCTAACTGCCAATGACGGCCACCCAGCTTTCTGATAGAGTAAACAATAATGTGTTCTGTCCCTGGTTAAGAACCTGAGAGCTGAATGATAAACTGCATCCAGTGGTTTAAGAGTGGAGGCAGGAGAATGCATATAGATTACATCACCATAGTCTGATAAAAATGTTGACTGAACAATTTGTTTTCTGCAGTTATGTGTCATACATGATTTATTTCTGTGAAAGAAAGACAATTTTGCTTTCAATGATTTAGTGAGTTAATCTATATGTGTTATTAAATCGTATGCACAACAAACACGAATCTGTTCATTATGCCGCCATTAGGTCACACATCTCAAGAATAAATACAACCAACACTGTGTTGAGCGGCGAATGAGCAAGAATGACAATTTTATTCACTAAACACAACAAATTGTGCACAAAAGCTTCAGTTACAAGAGACGATGAGGCAGAATAATACCAACAGATGTCAGTGTTTCACTCAGTGCTGCTAACAAAACTTTAAGTTTCATTTCTCTTGCAGTCTTCTGACACTTGAAACTTAAGGAAACCATGTTTACACCTTTCAGTTTCATTTTCTCGTTATCCTCTGCTGGCAGAGCCAACATCTCTCAGTTTGTTGAGTCATTCTCACAAGCTGTTTGTGGATCAGCTGTGCAGTTGTGTTTCTCTTTCAGCCACTGGCACTGAAAACATGGCATCACCAGACTGGATTCGTGAATTTCAGCTCAGAGCGAAAAGCCTTAGAGAAGGACACTCTTGGCGTTTGGAGTTTGATGGAAACATTGTGCCGAACCAACCAAACCCGGGCTGGAAGAAATACATCAGGAACACAAGTGCGAGGTCAGTGTGCTGGACTCTTTGATGGCTGTATGGGCTCAATTAATATAAATTATACATTAACATGTACTGCTGTTGGAAAAAGTCTTTTCATGCTGTCCCATTATGGGGACTGGTCTCCTTTAGTTGGTAATATTAATGACAAATGTTATATATTTTCATGTCCAAAACAGAAAAAACAGCTAATCATGGGGTTTCAACTGTTAGAGAAAGAACTGCGGTGTCATTATGTAACCAGGAAGTGGGTGACTTTGCCCCAGCTTCAATCTTACATTATCCCTATATTTCTTAGCCTGACAGTTATTTTACACAGCTGATGGACAGATAAACCCATGTAATATATATGGGTTTCATTTCTTACTTCAGTGTGTAACTGAATTAAAGATGGATAGACTAGTCTGGGTTGTAGGCAGGCAGAGCCTCTATCACTGTGGTGGTCCGTCACTGTGTTACTGCATAAGGAGCAGATTGCTTAGGTGTCTTTACCAACAAATTCCTCCAGTAAATCCTGTAAAGATAGCTATATGTTACAAATGAAAAAGAAATGTAGGCCAGAAGCTTCTGCTCCATGAAATTTTAGACTTTGGTAAATCTCCAGTAATTCCTCATGTCACATAGTTTTAGTACAAAGATGCTCCAAAAAGTTCTCAGCATCACCCAGAAACAAGGATGTAACTCCTATTTTGGAGCATAGCTGTAGACTATAAAGCCTTATGTCACTGTCCACAAAAACTCAAATGTGTCACTTGAGTTACTTGGCCGTCTGGCACCGTCTGATTTCTAGAAATCAGACGGTGCCAGCGGTTCAATGTCACATTTAACTGCTTCTGCCACACCCACTCACAGCTTTCCTCTCCTTGCAAAGACAAGCATTTGAATTCTTGCAGACAGTGATACATGGCTTTAGAATACACGCTTACGCCCCTTGTTTCCAGGTGAGGCTGAGAAGCTTTTTGATTTTATCTGGCTGAGATTGACAGGTAGCTGTGGTTAGGCCTAAACATTTTTCACTGCTGTTGCTGTTGATGTAAATATGCTCAGCCACAGTGATGACAGCAGCAGTAACCCACAACGCATTAAACAGCCACTTGATTAGTCGACAGACTGGAATCTGGAGTTTCCTGTCCAGCTATGGGGGTATTATTGGAGCGAAACTATTTGCAAATGTGTATGGAGAGTTGTTTGTCCGTATCTCAATCTGTGTGTCTGTAGTGAGATTTGTCAATGCGTACAAACACATGAATAGATGAACAGTATTTGACTACAAGTGCTGGAACCACAGAAAAATCAGCAGTTACAAGTCAAGCGGGCCTCACCATTGTCTGTCTTTTTACACATGACTTTTGCTTCACTTCTGATCCATATCTGTAACTTCAGGGCTTCTTTGCTCGTTCATTCTGGCTGCGTGCCACTCTGCACACAAGCCATCATGTAAGTTTTTGCTCAGCGACCCAAAACTCAGCAAATTTAACTTGTTCACATATACCAGACAATGTTGTGTGCCCTCAAAGACTCTGGGGGACAGCGCCACCTGATGGCTTGCAGGCAGCATAACTACTGAGGTACAGAGCAGCAGAGCGGCCGCAGCCAGAATGAACGAGCCTGTGAGCCTGAGCTCAGGGCAAAGAAACCCTCAAGTTACAGTTCCAGCACTTGTAGCCAAATACTTAGACTTTTCATCTATCAATATCTTTGTAAGTATTGACAAATGTTTTTACACATCAACAAATTTCACTACAGACAAACAGATTGAGATAGAGACAAACAACTCTCCATACACATTTACAAATAGTTTTGCTATAATAAAACTCCCATATCTAACTTTGTTTGGTTGTCATCTTCTGAGAGGGCCAACTCAGACTTACTGTTTAAAACACAAGTGTAAATTCACGGTAAAGTTTTACTACGACCAGATCTGAACTCTCTAGATTCTACTTCATAGTTTCTAACACTGTGCCCTCTGTCATTTTCAAGGTTCAAATGCAGCGAGTGTGGAAGAAGCTGGCCCTCCAACTGGGTGACGTTCATCTTCCACATGCGCCTGGCAGATCGGAATGGCACCGTGAAGGTCAGGTCCCTCCGTCAGAACTGCAAGAACTGCTACGATGCCCCGATGGAGGAACCCAGCGTCTCCACTGACAACATAGGCATCCTCATGGAGAATCTGATGGAAAAAATCAGAATAAAGTGCTACCATGAAGACCTTGGTGAAAAGAACAGGCCTGCTAGGAGCCTGGATGTCCAGAGTCCCCATGAGCCTTCCCATTGTGAGGCCTGCCGTCTTGGCATCTGTACAAGGATTTGAGCTTGTGATGCTTTTTGTTTGCCTTGCATTAATCTATTAAATCATCAATGTAGAAATAAGGGGCTTTAATGATATTTTATGCCTGAGCTATATATATATATATATATATACATGGAATCAAGGCTTCCTCTATCGATTTTATTCATTTTTCTGTTACAGCTCATAACAACTGGGTGCAAGTTTTCATGTTTATTTTTCCTGTCATTTTTCCGATCACATTTTATATTAATCAAAAGCATTTTAAAAGCTTGCCTTAAAAGGAAAATGTACATCTACAAATACATAGAGGTGGCACGAGCTATGAATTCATCATATGTGTGATTTGTGTGGATATATACTAACTGCAAATAAATGGCATTTAAATTTAATTTGTCTGCTTTTATGTGTACATAAGACACTGACTGAGAGCATAAAAGTCACTAAAGCAAAAAGATCTGCAGGAATTCTGGAAATGTAGATAATAGGTTTTTTCCATTTATTTGAATAGAAATGTTATGTAAAAGGAAAGAAAAAAAGGTGGCTGGCAGGTGGTTTGGGCTGAAACCAGAGAACACCTGTTTCTCGAATGGCATCCACTGTTTATTTGCCTGCAGGCGTGACACCGACGCAGCTGTGGTCAGTCCTCAGCGTCTGGAAGTCACACACTGAGGTGCATCACATTAACTGTGGGTTACGCTCGCTCTGTATGAAAACACCGACAGGGAAAGGAGCTGCCCTGCCTGGAGCGTTCCTCTGCCCACATCATTTGCCAGGGGTTTGTCCACATCACGCTTCACCGAGTGGCACTTTGTATATCTTGCCCATGAAGGCTGAATTTAGTCTTGCAAGAGTGAGTTTGCCAGGTAAGTAGCAGGCCTGCCGTCTGACTGCTCTGCTGACGTACAGCTGCTTTTAAAAAGATGATCATTTTGCCATCCTCAGCGGCTCACTGATTCTGAAGAGACGGTTTCCTCAGCAGCTTCTCTCTCCACATCATGGCGTCGAAGGATCCTACACTGAAGGTAAAGTGGTGCAGATGTTACCAGGTGTTAACCCAGAGTTGTACTCACTCGTCTCTGAAACTCTTCAATTATTCGTCAGTCTGAATGATTTTATTTTAATTCTAGTGGCTCCTTCCGTCACTCAAGCCCACCTTGGTTGTGTTCATTATGCTCATGCCAGGTAAGCTGTTTGGTTAGTATATTTCTCCAGCAGGGTGGCATCTGGCAATGTGTCTGCTGAATAATGGAGGTGAAATATTGCAGCACAAATGTTGGAAGAAGTTGGAAATAAGTTCATGTGAGTCCCCCTCACTGTAAAAGAAAGCTAAGACTGTCTGGAGAAAGTATTATTTTAACCACATTGTTGGATTTATTTGAATGAAAATCACATCACAAGCCGAAGCACGTGAACACGAATCGACTCATCATTACTCTTTGAATCCCGTCAGCCGCTCTGTGCAGCACCATCCAGCTGAACTGCTCAGAGCCCAACCAGCCCGCCCTGCTCAAGGCTCTGGGTCCGGTCTTCAACCTGAGTGCCATTCGACCCGTTCTGAACACTTCGACCACCACCAACGTCAGAACGTTCTTCACGCTGTACGGGATACTCGGAGTGGTACGTTCTGATGAGTACCACCAACACAAACTGGACCCTTTGTGTGACTTCTCTCTGAAACTCTAAAGATGAAGGCAAATTATAAACAAAATGTTTTTATACCAAACTGTAAAAAAATAGAAAGAAAGAAAAAAAGAAAGAAAAGAAAATCCTGCCAGTCAGAGTTCTTGAAAAAGAAAAAAATTAAAATATATTAAAATAAATACATAAAAAAAATGTAATTCAAAAACTTAAAAAGTGGGGACAGTAATGTTTAATTATCTTCAATCAGTGATACTTTTAAGCTTTTTTTTTTAAATACAGTGTAATTTTACTATCACACACTGTAAAATAAATAATTTTTATTTGTAAATATACTGATTTTAATGTCGACATTATTGACAGTTTTGGCCATTTTTTTTCACAGTTATTATCTGTAATTCAACAAATCAGACAGATCTGATATCAGTTATAAAAAAATATTTCCAACTTTCCAGTTATAATAAACAAGGATTTTCTGTAACATAACAGTAAGTATAAGTAAAATAATGAATTTGCTGATTTAAGCACATTGAAAAATAGTGTAAATTTATAGTCAAATGTTATAAGAGAACAAACTACCATTTCTAAAATATACAGATTAAAGTTTTGGCCTTTTTTTGTAAGTTTTTTGTTTTCTTTTGTTTTACAATTAATGTGTAAAATGTAGACTTTTTTCCTCATATTTCAGCAGGTGTTATCTGTAATTTAACAAAACAGGGAAAATCTGTACAGTGGTAGAATTAAAAAAAAAAATTAAAAAAAAAGATTAAAAAAGCAGTTTTTAAAGCCTGTCATTTTTCACAGTGCCAGAGAAACTTTATATGTTTATATGTGCACAATGTAATATGACTTTTATATTTACCAATGCGAAACAGTGAGAGGTCAGCAGAAAAGCAACATATTCTATTTTTCTTCTATCTTCAATAAAATGTCATCTGAATTAAATATTAAATCATTTCTTTTTGTCGTTGGGCTCCATGAAGGCTTTTTATTTAGGATCAATGTGATTTTCAAAAACAAAAAAAAAACATTAGCAAGCACTGTTTTTGTACTAAGTACTGAAGTGACTCTGTTTGTCTTTCAGGATGAAAAGGCTCAACTTTTGAACACGTTCATTTGGCTAAATTACGTAAGTAGTGCAATCATCCACCACCTTCCATTCTGATGAAGAGATAGCTGTGAGGTTAGATTTTCTGATCATCAGTGTTGTACCTGCTCTGCCCGCTCACACCCATTTTTGCTTGTTTTAGTGGTGGGATAATGAGTTTGCCACTTGGGACCCAGTCCAGTGTGGTATCAGCAAGATCTCTCTTCCCAGGAAAAAATTCTGGGTTCCAGATATTGTAATCAATGAATTGTGAGTTTCATCCTTCCTGGACATTAACACATGTCAAACCATGCACTGCACACACTGTCACTTCAATAGAGTCCATCTGGGGACACTGTTACACAACATCTCTGTGAAAGGATAAGAGCAGTGGTTGTCTACATTTCCCCTTTTTACCTACAAATCCCATGAATACAACGAGCAGCAATGCCATACATTCATTTCTACTGAAGGTAGAACGGTCAATATGTAGTAAAATGTTTTTTTTAATATGCTTATAATGTCCTAAAATAGCTGGCAATATTTTAGCAAACATTCAAACAGGAGTGAATATTACAGATTTATTGCTCCCTGAATGTAAATTTAATAGCTACAGCACCAGAACAGCTTCATCATGCTTTGGATGCAAAAGATAAGATAAGATATGCCTTTATTTATCTCACAGTGGAGAAATTCACATTGTTGAT